AAAGCTAGTTTTCTTGAAATTAACCAAGGTGCGAAACGGCTCATGTGAGGTACGAATAAACTTAGTACGAAACAGCTAGGTTACGAAACCGCTCGCATTCCTCAACACTGTATAAATTTAAAGTTAATCGGATATTAACCGTCGCCTCTATAGCGCTTCCACAAGCAAACCAGCGGCTGCCAGGCAGGATACGCCCACATTTTCGAGAGATGGATAGAGAACAAGCTAAAACGAAAGTGATTTTTCCTACAATCAAGGGCCATAATTCAGGAAATTACAATTCGATATGCACAAATATCGAAAGGAAACGAGATCTTTGGGTTATAAACTTACATTTCAAGTTTCAACAAAATCGGATAAAAATTGTGACCTCTATAGGGTCCACAACCTTGATATACCATATTTTTACGCTATTTGAGAACGAGGGGCGGCCATTTTGTCTGTGTTTTGGGTCGATTTACACGAAATTCGAACTCAGCCGTCCTTGGGGAGTAACGGTGATATAATAATACGTTTTTTTTTTTTAAATCGGATAAAAATTATGACCTTTATAGGGTCCACAAGCTAAAAACGCGATTTTTCGTACAATCAGGGGTCATAATTCAGGAAGTTACGGTCCGATATGCGCAAATATCAACAGGAACCGAGATCTTTGGGTTATAAACTCACATTTCAATTTTCAACAAAATCGGATAAAAATTGTGACCTCTATAGGGTCCACACCCTTGATATACCATATTTTTTACGTTATTTGAGAACGAAGGGCGGCCATTTTGTCTGTCAGTTTTGGGCCGATTTTCACGAAATTCGAACTCAGCCGTCCTTAGGGTGTAACGGTGATATAATAATACGGTTTTTAAAATCGGATAAAAATTATGACCTCTATAGGGTCCACAAGCCAAAAAACGCGTTTTTACGTACAATCAGGGGCCATAATTCAGGAAGTTACCGTCCGATATGCGCGAATATCGAAAGGAACCGATATCTTTGGGTTATAAACTTACATTTCAAGTTTCAACAAAATCGGATAAAAATTGTGACCTCTACAGTGTTCACAAGCCAAAAACGTGATTTTTCGTACAATCAGGGGCCATAATCCATGAAGTTACGGTCCGATAGATGCCAATATCGACAGGAACCGAGATCTTCGGGTGATAAACCTATATTTCAAGTTTCATTGAAATCGGATAAAAATTGTGACCTGTAGACTGTTCACAAACAATTGTGGACGGACGGACAGGGGCGACGACAATATACGTCCACATGAAAATGTGGGCGTATAAAAATAGAATATGCTGAGAATTTCAGTCAAAATTGCTTTTGAATTTTAGGTTAGCCACTATCACCATTACTAAAGTCGGTAAGATAAAAAAAAACCAGCGGCTGCCAGGCAGGATACGCCCACATTTTCGAGAGATGGAGAGAGAACAAGCTAAAACGAAAGTGATTTTTCCTACAATCAAGGGCCATAATTCAGGAAATTACAATTCGATATGCACAAATATCGAAAGGAAACGAGATCTTTGGGTTATAAACTTACATTTCAAGTTTCAACAAAATCGGATAAAAATTGTGACCTCTATAGGGTCCACAACCTTGATATACCATATTTTTACGCTATTTGAGAACGAGGGGCGGCCATTTTGTCTGTGTTTTGGGTCGATTTACACGAAATTCGAACTCAGCCGTCCTTTGGGAGTAACGGTGATATAATAATACGTTTTTTTTTAAATCGGATAAAAATTATGACCTCTATAGGGTCCACAAGCTAAAAACGCGATTTTTCGTACAATCAGGGGTCATAATTCAGGAAGTTACGGTCCGATATGCGCAAATATCAACAGGAACCGATATCTTTGGGTTATAAACTCACATTTCAATTTTCAACAAAATCGGATAAAAATTGTGACCTCTATAGGGTCCACACCCTTGATATACCATATTTTTACGTTATTTGAGAACGAAGGGCGGCCATTTTGTCTGTCAGTTTTGGGCCGATTTTCACGAAATTCGAACTCAGCCGTCCTTAGGGTGTAACGGTGATATAATAATACGGTTTTTAAAATCGGATAAAAATTATGACCTCTATAGGATCCACAAGCCAAAAAACGCGTTTTTACGTACAATCAGGGGCCATAATTTAGGAAGTTACCGTCCGATATGCGCGAATATCGAAAGGAACCGAGATCTTTGGGTTATAAACTTACATTTCAAGTTTCAACAAAATCGGATAAAAATTGTGACCTCTACAGTGTTCACAAGCCAAAAACGTGATTTTTCGTACAATCAGGGGCCATAATCCATGAAGTTACGGTCCGATAGATGCCAATATCGAAAGGAACCGAGATCTTCGGGTGATAAACCTATATTTCAAGTTTCATTGAAATCGGATAAAAATTGTGACCTGTAGACTGTTCACAAACAATTGTGGACGGACGGACGGACAGGGGCGACGACAATATACGTCCACATGAAAATGTGGGCGTATAAAAATAGAATATGCTGTGAATTTCAGTCAAAATTGCTTTTGAATTTTAGGTTAGCCACTATCACCATTACTAAAGTCAGTAAGATAAAAAAAAAAAAAAAGTTTTGATTATCCATTTTTACGTTTAGTTATTTTTCAAAAAATGTATTCCAATCCACTAAACATGGCAGGCTAGTGATGGCATTGATTATGGTCTGGATAAGTTAATTATTGTAATTAATAATTTAGACAACATTTCAAGCCTTAAAGATCTGCAATAGGCAGATTTAACTCTTGCATAATGTATGTTCAAAAGAATGATCATATTGAAAATTCAAGCACTGGCCTACACTTTTAGTAATAACCTTTTGTTAAACACCTTTTAACCTGTAAAAGATGGATTGCCAGGCAATGAAACATTAAACCACAGCAGTCAAGTCATAAGCAATCAATAAAAACTGTCACAAATTATTCCTTTGTAGGTAACCGGGCGTGTTCAAGAATTTGAGACAAAGTCAATTTTGGCACTGGGTCAGGGGAATTACCCGAGAATTTCATAAAATCAGATGCTCTATGACAATATTTCTGTTTATTTAGGTGCATACAGGTATAGGATTAGAGGAGAGTCAGGCCAAAAACAGCGGCAATGCCCAATGTTTGAGGGGGTATTTTTGATGAAGGAAGGAGGAAAATGAAATGCTACGCACAATCAATGGGTGATCCGGACAAGTTGACTCGAATTTTGCATAGAAATAACTTATTTTTTTTACAAACTGGTGAGGACTTCAAACACGCTAATGTCGCTTTGAAAATATGACGATTTTGTGCTGTTCCTTTTCCCATGTAAGCGAGTGCTTGAAATAATTATGGATCAGGATGAAGTTCAAAGGGATAAAATATTGATGGCATTTCAAAACTCCCAAGATTCATCCCAGACTGCCTGCATATAAACCAGTAACACATTAATGATAATTAATTTAATTTTATACAAAAGAAGATTTCAATGGCAAAAATAATGGAAATTTTACAAATCACTTCTAAATAAATAAAATACATTTAGTAGCACTATTGATATATGGACATTTTGTTCCAGAATTTAAAACAGAAACAAATTGATTTAACAGTAATAATAAAATGCAAGTTTACATGTCTTAAGTAAAATTTATTCCATTCAGCATGATTTTTATATGCCAGGATTAACACATTATGCCACCTCACTCCTGAATATAGTAAAGATATCATTGAGAAGCTATTTAATTTGTGAGGTAAAATACTAGAAGTTGGGACTGATTTCAAAGCCACATACAAAATATTGTGTTAAATATTATGTAAACTGAACATTATCTCTGCAAACACAAGAATCAAAGTGTGCAATTAGTTTTTGGAGACAAATTTCAGGTTAAGAACCATCTCGCAAAACATGCACCAATGAGACTTAGCACAATAGCCTCCATTATTCCATAATTACTCTGTACTAACAGAATATTTTTACAGTAGCAAGGCTTAGCAAAGTATAACCAGGAAACAATGGGTTAAGTAATTATGTTTTGTGCACAGTGATATATGCTCAAATCCATGAGAGTTTTTCCCCTTTTTCCTAAATGTGAATTGGTACACATAAATATAACAGATTTTCAATCCTTCCATAACAATACTTCAAAATGTGATTTGTTCAAATTCGACTTTGTTGCATCAGTGTCATAGCTCAGTATAATCTAAAGCGTCATCTTTGTTAAATAGAGATACATGTATGAACTTAAATATAATGGTAAAACAGATTCAAAACAAAATGACTGCATCAGAAAAAAACTTCTATCCTCTGAAGTTATTTCTGTATGATGAAAATGTCAAAATGTAGTTTATAGACACAGATAATAGATGATAAGAACGTTTAAGGTTCGGGTCCCTCTGAGGCTTGTGCCGGTTGTTGTGGTGCACTTCCACCATCGGACCCCTGTTTCTTTACACCAGAGACAATGTCGTCAATTCTAAGTAACAAAATGGCCGTCTGAAAGAGAAAATTTGTTTAACACAAACATTAATTTCTTTGTATATATTAATTTCTACATTAAAAACAGCAACTCAAATTTTTTTTTAACCAAAACAAATCACGAAAAGAGGGAAGTTTAATGAATGTTGCCAATTTTTTGTAATTTTTATGCATTGTGTTTGATAAATTCTAATGTGATGATGGATCTGAATCCTAAAACCATTTGAACCTATGCCAGCATTGCGACAGGTCATTTCAGCTCACATTTTTACAAAAGATTTTGCTTAGCCCCTTTGACATATATATTTTGACTGGTCAGTTCACCAAGTTAATGGAAGACCAAAGGTAGGGTGACCCTCTTGAATTCACCCATGAAAAGGGTTGATTTCATACTTATTTTATGTAAAATAACTTACCTCAACAGCTGTTTTAAGAACTTGTACTTTTACAGATGTAGGTTCCCAGATACCGAATTCCCTCATATCAACAATATTACCTGTCTCTCCATCTATACCCCATGTAGTAGAATCAGCTTTATGATGTTTAGCCTACAATATACCACAATGTTAAGTTGAAGATACAGTAAATTCTATATTCCCTCCCATCCATTTTTAATCATTTGCAAACAATATTTAGAATATGGTCAAAACCAGCCAGCGCCAACCATAATTTTCACAGAAATCTTTTAATACGTATCTTTGTAATCCTTCTGAATTTAGCTCAGCGATTTTTTATAACACTGAAATTAGAATGATGAAAGTTCAATCCCCTATATCTTTGTAAATACTGAACGTGATTGAACCATTATTCGACTGATATTCCTATTAGAGATTCATCTTTCAAATTTTTGAGGTTTGCAAATGATTCCTCTTGCTTAAAAAGGTGCGAAATAATCAATTTGAGTGCAGTTTAGTATGGATTAATACATGAAAACTTATATATTGTTCAACAAATGCAAATGACAATCAGTGACTTTAACTTACTATGAACATTCCAACCAAGTTTAAATAAATAACAGTCAAAATGTAACAGAAACAAAGGTAATTCAGGTGGCGCGAGAATTTAGTCAGGTCAGAATTTACAGTCAAAACTGCCAACATAGATTGCGTTATCAAAAAATAATCTAAGATTGCCCATATCTCAGTTATTTCTCAACGGATCTTCTTCGGGTTTTCATTTTTGGATCTTTGGACGAATCCCATATGGGTTCTGGCGTTTTTTCGAAATTCGCTCGATTAGTTTTAGCATCAAAGATTTGCAAAAGTTTTCTTCTTCATTTTTTGATTTTAAGTCTCTATTTGAGGTATCAAGTTCAAACTTGGTAGGAATAAGGAACACATCCATGCCTTCAAAATGGCATATTAAAATTTTTTTGATGGCTTCCGAAAATTTCCGTGGCCTTTCGATTTTTCCTGCACATGAATAGTTCCCTCCATTTTAAAAATAGACCAAAAATGACATATGGTAGTGTTAGCCCAGATATTATCTTTCATTTTTAGCGATTTTTCCTGAACATGAATAGTTCCCTCCATTTTAAAAATAGACCAAATATGACATATGGTAGTGTTAGCCCAGATATTATCTTTCATTTTCAGAGACCTTGTTAACATTTTCAACCGTTTGGCCACCATAATTGATTTTACAAAAAACCTTCAAATCGATATTCAGCCACCATTTTGATTCCGATTTTCGAAAACTTTTTGAACCTACTCCAAACGGTAACAATTCTTATGAATTCCAATTTTGTTTACTTCCGGTTTCACTTTGAATTTTGTTTTGACTTTTGACCTATCTGGTGACCTAACCTTTCAATGATGAACCTGATGCCCACTAACTGTCAATATCAAAAAGTTTGGTCTTGAAGTATAACTTCCGGTTTTATTACGAGTTCAAAATAACAGATTTTTCCACTTTAATAGGTATTGGGATGTAACTATACTCAATAATTCATGGTGTAACTTGATTGTTGATGTGACAAGGAATGACCCGATGCACCGAAACACATCACATGTACCGAAACACATCAGTACTCCTTTGGAGCTCTAGTTTAATTATTTTTTTGTGTACTAAGATTCACAGTATTTCATCTTTTCTATTTAACATAAAAATATACAATATAGACACCCAACTAATCATATACCAGCATGTCAACATTATTCAAATTTTTTTTTAAGACAGGTGTATGACTTTTTGAACTTAAATAAATGCTATAATACCTGGTAATTAGTAGTACTTACTCTTAAAGCTGTTAATGTTCTAATTGTACTAGCCCCACAGTTTTGAATTAAAGTTCTTGGTATCACTTCAAGGGCTCTAGCTACAGCTCTGTATGGCCACTGATGAATTCCAGTGATACTCTTAGCCTTTTCATTTAATGCCTGGAAATAAAATATTAATACTCAAAAAATCTGGACATTGGGGGAGTATGTTATTTTTGTATTTTATTTTGTCCCAAGGATACGCAATTAAATTTACCACAACCATCACATTTCAAGGTCATACATCATGGTTCTTAATCCATTTTGAAACAGACCAGCCAGAATTGGGTCAATTTAGGTCCCTGTAGGAAATAGGGTTATTATAAGCCACCATATACCCTTTAATATAGTCAGACTTTAAATAAAAACAAGCGGTTGCCATGCAAGATACGCCCGCATTTTGCAAGAGATGGAAAGAGAACAAGCTCAAAAAAAGAAGTGATTTTTCGTACAATCAAGGGCCATAATTCAGGAAGTTACAATCCGATATGCATGAATATTGAAAGGAACCAAGATCTTTGGGTTATAAACATGTATTTCAAGTTTCATCAAAATCGGATCAAAATTGTGTCCCCTCTCTAGTGGGTCCAAAACCTTGATATACCATATATTTACAATATTTGCGTACGAGGGGCAACCATTTTGTCCGTCAGTTTTGGTCCGATTTGTACGAAATTCGGACTCAACCATCATAAGGGTGTAACAGGGCCATAATTCAGGAAGTTACGATTCCAATATGTGCGAATATGGAAATGAACCAATTTCTTTGGGTTATAAATATGTATTTCAAGTTTCATCAAAATCGGATCAAAATTATGGCCTCTAGATCATATGTTCACTGAAGTTCTTATACCAGCCTATATCTTGACTGTTGTTGTAGGCCACAGGCCCAGTTGATTGTCTTCTTAATCAACAAGTAATAATCAAAGTTTTGTAATTTAACCGAAAAGTAAGGTTGATTTATGATACCATAGTGGCCGTTGCATAGTTTTATCAATCAGCTTTTTCAAACATCAAGCAGCTGAAGCCTACAATAACGACCCGACTAAGATACCTGTTATACATATATCTAACTCATCATCCTTTTATTCATGCTTTTTATAGGAATACACTAACATAATTACTAATTCTTGTGTTACATATTAAATATTACTGTGCACTGAAGGCCGAATTCAAGTTTATTTACAAGTAGTAATTAATTGTTGTCTTCCATGATGGATGAAAGCAGTTTTTCTAGTACTAATGCGAATGTTTAGTCATTTTTTTCTCATTACTTGATGTAGTAGTTTGCAAGATAATTATCATCTATGAGAAATGGGATTCAACGTCCACTGACCCAAACCAGGTCATTTCTGAACTAACAAATGGTAAATTTTATTTCAATAATTCAATATAAAAAAAAATGGACTTAAAAGTTTTGTCAAAATTAAGCAGACGAATCAAAGGTCGTCATTTCCTGATAACAGTGAGTAGATTTACGACTGTCCAGTACCATTTACTATTCTTATTAGCATTTATCATGGTAGTGTACATGATAATTGAGCCTAGAGAACACTCAGGTTTCAACAACAAAATGTATAATAGAGAAACCCCTCTTTGACTCAGTAAATCTTAAAAGGATGTTTTTATTTTTCTGAAATATAAACACGTCATGCGACCCTTTTCAGGTCATGCGCCTGTATCAGATAACCAGTGTAGATTTTTTTTTTTTATCGCTTTACCTGAGCTAAGGCCATTTCTGTTGCCCCGCCACCCGGTGCTAATCTTGGTTCCACCATTACATTTCTAGCTACATTCATAGCATCTTGTAGATTTCTTTCTACTTCCATTAAAACATCTTTACTAGCTCCTCGCAGTAAAATAGTACAAGCCTTTGGATTTTTACATTCAACCAAAAATGTGAAATATCTACAAAATAATATACATGTAGAGAGAATGGAGCACATGAGAGAAATACAATTTTTTCCCGCAAACAATCTTTTAAAGACAGGTTGCCAGGCAACAAAACATACGTCTCATCATATTAAACAAAGTGTATAAATTTCAAGTCAATCGAGAGAGAAAGAGAGATGGGGTTTAACATCCACTGGATACAAACTAGGCCATTTCGGGACTAACACATTGTTCAATTTTATTTCAATAATTCGCTTGCGCGTAGGGGTCTTTCGCAGTGGGAGGAAACCGGAGGACCCGGAGAAAACCCACGAGGTTTGAAGGTGATCCTACTCCTTGTCACGTACAAAAAGGGAATCGAAACCACGCCAGTTGACTCAACGACAAAGTCAATCGGATATTAACTTTAGCCTCTAGAGCACCCACAAGACTTTTAAAAGTGATCAATGACCATAACTGTGGCAATAATTATTGGAATTGTTGAAAACCTATAGGCTTCTTCATCTCATGACCTTAAACCAGGATATTAACTTGAGCCTCTAGAGCGTCCACAAAATTTTTCAAAGTGATCAAGGGCCATAACTTTGGGAGTCATAATTGGAAATCGTTGAAAACCAATAGGCTTCTTCGTCTCATGCAGTGACACTGCCAGCCGCCGGTGGTTAGAGGGGCAAAGCTTGGGCAAAGTCCAAGGATAAGGGGGCTTTAACCAGGGCTATGGGGGGTCTGCCCCAGAAATTTTTGAAAAACAGACTGCCGGAAATGTACCCTGGCAGTATTTCAGGCACTGGCACTAATGGTCGAGAAAAATAGAGCTTACCAGGTACCGCCTGTTGCCAAATCACTAGTTTATTAGACCAGAGAGGACAGTGTCAAACGAACGGAGTGAGTGAATCAAAGTGAATAAATATTTACGCCACAATATTTTGAGAAATAGACTGCCGAAAATGTGGCCTGGTAGTATTTCAGACACTGGTCGTCGAGATAAATAGAGCTGACCAGATACTGTACGGTGCCAAATCACTAGCTTATCCGAACAAAAATAGATGTGTCAAATGAACAAAGTGAGTGAATCAAAGTGAATGAATATTCTTGCAGTGTTGAGGATTGTTGAGGATCGTAAAAAGCACTTGTGGTTTACGTGTTATTGTTTATAGTAGGTTTACAGCAGGATGGCTTGAGTTGGAATGTATAATTTTTTTTTTTTTTTTGGGGGGGGGGGGGGGGGAAACAGAGGGCAGGCCAGATTTATGGGGGGGCTAGGGAGCCAGCATCTTACCCACTTAGCCACCGTGACCTCCCCTAACCAAATCCAGTTTTCGTATATTACAGCCTTGAAGGTCGGATGTTCGATCCCTGCATTGGCTGAGAAAGTTCATCCAGATTTTCTGGTGTGGTTCTCTCGTCAGAGATGCAGCTGTCTAGTCGTTCGGATGAAACGAAAAATCAAGGTCCTGTGTACACATTCGCGTGCACGTAAAAGATCAATGACAGTTGAATTCGATGTAAGAGTAGGCCGTAGCGCCGCTGTTTGGGCAAAATTTCTCTCATAGCATAATGTATGCCGTATGCCCGTCTTCATTAGCCCTGTTCAGAACAGAACGTTTAACTTCATTTCATTTCATTCATTATATTACTACCAAGAGTTAAATGAATTAGTATATTTTTAAATGAAGTCTCTAATAAAATGACAACTTACTCATCACCTATTTTTCTGATTTCATATAAACCACAACCCAATCCTACATCTTCATCACGTAATTCGTCTGTTCTATTAGCTACAGTTGCACCAACAGCTCTGTGATACAAACATGTCAAATTACTAATCTTAACGATTACATATTAACAGTTAAAAATATCACACCCAATATGGGGAAAAAAACCTCAGGAATAAACTTACAACTTTTGCCATTTATTTTCCTGATCTTTGATTCATCTATTGAAACCGGCAAATTTTCTGGTATATAATATACATTGTTGTTTCTGCCTACTTATAACCAGCAGTGGCCAGACAGGATACACCCACACTTTGCAAGAGATGGAGCTAAACAAAAAGTGATTTTTTGTACAATCAAGGCTCATAATTCAGGAAGTTACGATCCGACATGCATGAATATGGGCAGGAACAAAGATCTTTGGGTTATAAATATATATTTTAAGTTTCATCAAAATCGGATCAACATTGCGACCTCATCGAGGGTCCACAACCTTGATATGCACGAATATCAAAAGGAACCAAAATTTTGGGGTTATAAACATGTATTTCGAGTTTCATCAAAATTGTGGCCTCTAGAGGGTCCACAACATTGAAATACCATATATACACTATTTGCGTATGAGGGGTGGCCATTTTGTCCGGCAGTTTTGGTCCAATTTTCACGAAATTCACACTCGGCTATCATTAGGGTGTAACGGTGATATATTCAAACGAATATTGCAAGGAACCAAGATCTTTGGGCAATAAATATGTATTTCAAATTTCATCAATATCGGACCAAAAATATGACCTCTAGAGGGTCCACAACCTTGATATACGACATTTTTACACTATTTGCATACGAGGGGCAGCCATTTTGTCCAGCAGTTTTGGCTTGATTTTCCTGAAAATCAAACTCAAGCGTCATTACAGTGTAACGGTGATATATTCAAACATTGTTTTAAATTGGATTATAATTGTGACCTCTTTTTTTCGTACAATCAGGGCCCATAATTCAGGAAGTTACGGTCCGATATGCGAAAATATCGAGGGAACCAAGATCTTTGGGAGATAGATCTATATTTTAAGTTTCGTCAAAATCAAAAGATAGGTTGCCAGGCAACAAAACATATGCCCACAGCAGCTAAATATCCTGATATCTTATCTCACCTGGCAATTCTGTTATTGTCTGATTTTCTAACACGTCGAATAACACTGATACCAGCTTTAACAAAATAATGCTGAGCTAGATCAGACACGCCTTTCTCTGTAAAAACTAAATCTGGTTTAAATTGTATAACTTCATTACAGATCTTCTCAATATATTCTTCTTCCAATTTCAAGATTTTCCTAGTAAGGACAAAAAAAAAAAAAAAAAAAAAAAAAAAAATCATACAAGATATTCATAGAGATGTTTAATCAAGTTTAAAAATCATTCTGAGAGTAAAGCATAGTGTACATCGACTCAACGACTGGAAGTAATGCAACTGATTGGGTGTAGTTAGTTGATGTACACGTTCAAGAACTTTCATTGATTTTTAGTCTACAAAGGGTCATAATTCAGTTTAAAAGAAACCTGATCTGTATCTCTCAAATATCTCAAAGTTAAATTGTTTTAAAAAAGCAGAGAGAGAAAACCTCTAGATCTGGTTGCACTCAGTAGGTAAAATAATTATTTTTCTATCATAAATATCATAATGCGAGTGTGAAACATGGAAATAAATTTATGATTCAGAGCATTTGCAAACTAAACTGGATTATTGAAATCAACTCTTTATCAAAATCATATCTTATTAAACTTACGAAAAATCTTCTTCTTTGGATATTTCTATATTTGTCTGACTTTCTCCTTTTTTATATTCTAAAGAACAGTCTAATAAAATAATTCTTGGATTTTCTATTCTCCTGAAAAAACAATTCAGTTTCATTTGACACTTAATAAGGTTACCTCCAACACAAGAGAGCAAATCTGAAGCAAAATTATTAATAATATTCTGCAAACAATCAGTCAAATAGGATTCCAGTCACTTAAAAGCACTATCAGACCAAATATATTTGATAAATATTATATTAAAACAAAGATATATGGTATCAAACGCTGTGCCGATGTGTCAATTGGATGTCAACTTTAGCCTTTAAAGCACCTACAAGCAATTGTGGATGGATGGAGGTATAAAATTGTGGGCGTATAACTTTATAATACTGGATATTCATACCTTCTCATTTTAGGATGTGTCACATCCTTGTTCAACATAACGCCCCGTAACACCTCAGAATCTTCCAAAAACCCTCCTGGAATCTAAAATACACAAGGTAAATAACTCATGCAATACTAGGAACGAATCTCTACTTCACTTCTATTTACATACAGAACACTTAGTTGTAATATTGATGGTTTTATTCTACTGTTAACAAGCATGATCATTTTAATATACAGAGACACAATGAAAATGCAACACTTTAATCTAGTGAATCTAAGGCAACACAAAAAAAAGATTCTGGTTCTCAGATTTCATTGTGTAATCAAAAATAGACCGCATCACATGTTTTTATATTAAAAAATAAATAAGTCAATAATTTCCACTGGTTCATATTTCCCCTGATCAAGGGAAGTAACTATTGAACGTTTCTTGGTAACAGGAAATGAACACTAGACTTGGCTATCAAGTATGTAACTATGGGAAACACAACTGACAATCAGGAAAGGGCGCTGGATAATCAAATGTTAAAATATTTTCGAAAATATAAGAAGGCGACAATTTTGCTATCAATCTGTTCTTTTTTTACTATCAAAATGCCATATCTCTACCGAGAATACAACTGCGAGAGAGATGACCGCAATTGAGGGCAATTTAAATCACCAGCAAAATCCATGCTTTGACAATGAGTACGTGTATTTATACCATGTAATGGTCGCCAAAATAAAAAACGGATTTAAAAACATTTTTCCCAGGAGTAAATGTAGAGAGATGAAGTCACAGAATTATTCGGCCATTATTTCATATTCTTACTTATATTTGTTTTTCTTATTACGAGTGGAATAAATATTAAATTTATAGTAATTTTGTGTGTTTCTTAAAAATGAAAAGCTAGCTAGAATTTGACAAAATACAAACAAAAAACCAGAGTCACTAGAAGCAGCACAACATTGTTAGATCAATCTCTATTTTGCCTAAATGTACCTTTTCAACTTTAGCATATCGTTTGATGTCTATCTCTTTACGACCATTTTCCTCAACAGCAACAGTAGATGTGGCATCCAGGGCAATTTTACAGGCTAAATCCATCCTGAAAAAATTATAGAAATTGTGATACATGCCTTGTTATATAACTCAACAAAGATAAGTCAATTTTTATAATCAATAATGAACAAAAAATTAACAATGTTATTAAATCAAGATGATAAATTCAGTAAAAGTAATTGCAAAATAACAGCCCAATATAAATCCAGATATAATTCTGCCTATTGACAGATAATATACTTAACCAGCGGCTGCCAGGCAAGATATGCCCACATTTTGCAAGAGATGGATATAGAACAAGCTAAAAAAGTGATTTTTTGTACAATCAAGGTTCATAATTCAGGAAGTTATATAGAGAATCTCCTACCAGTCTTTTTTGATATCAAAAAATATCAACACAAGTTTATAAAGTAACAAAAAAACGAGGCTCTGCCAAGTTTTTTTTTACTTTATCAACCAGTGTTGATATTTTTTGATATCAAAAAAGACGAGTAGGAGATTTTATCTATCACCCAATCCCTTCTTACATGCACAAATAAATATAATTCTTTGCTGTAGATTTCACTTTTACTGAACATTACGGCGAAGTGATACATCATTTTATGACAGCAATTCAACCATTGCAAAGTCCTTTATATTGACCCAGTGTTTCCATCAACTTCAATTAAATAACAAAAGTTCATTTTTAATAAAAAAAAAGTTACTTTTAATAAGAAATGAACTGTTCTTTGAAAATAAAAAAAAGTAGTTCCTTTTCAACTGACCAATCAAATTCATGTAAAGCGATATCTCCTAAGGAGATATCGCAGTAGATTATGAAATATATCACACAAGCGATATCTACTGTAGAATGTATTATTGGGTGATAAAATCCAATACGCACGAATATCGAAAAGAACCAAGATCTTTGGGTAATAAAGATATATTTCAAGTTTCATCAAAATCGGATCAAAATTGTGACTTCTAGAGGGTCCACAACCTTGATATACCATATATTTACACTATTTGCATACGAGGAACGGCCATTTTGTCTGGCAGTTTTGGTCTCATTTTCATGAAATTTGAACTCGGCCATCATTAGGGTGTAACGGTGACATATTCAAATGTTTTTTTCAATCTGATGAAATTTGTGACCTCTAGAGGGACCACAAGCTAAAAATGCGGTTTTTCATACAATCAAGGGCTATAATTCAGGAAGTTACGATCCCATATACGTGAATATCGAAAGGAACCAAGATCTTGGGGTTTTAAACATGTATTTTAAGTTTCATCAAAATCAGATCAAAATTGTGGCCTTTAAAGGGTTCATAACCTTGATATACCCTATGTTTACACTAGTTTAGTACGAGGGGCGGCCATTTTAAATCGGATCATAATTGTGACCTCTTGAGGGGCCACAAGCTTAAAACGTGGTTTTTCATACAATCAGGGGACATAATTCAGGATGTTATGGTCCGATATGTACGAATATCAAAAGGAACCAAGATCTTTGGGTTATAAACATGCATTTCAAGTTTCACCAAAATCAGATGAAAACTGTGACATCTAGTGTGTCCACAAGCTAAAAATGTGATTTTTCGTACAATCAGGGAGCATAATCCATGAAGTTATGGTCCGATACATGTCAATATTGAAAGAAACCAAGATCTTCGGGAGTTAGACCTATATTTCAAGTTTCGTCAAAATTGGATAAAAATTGTGACCTGTAGAGTGTCCACAAACAAATATGGACAGACGGACGGATGAACAGGGGGCGAGGACAATATACGTTCACATGAAAATGTGGGCATATAAAAATAAAGAAATAATCAGTAAAAACCAAAGCTTTGTTAAGCAGGAAAAGGTATTTTTCTCAAAGCCTTGCCATTTTTATTACTTACCATTTACTAATAAGCTTTGTACCTAAACAACTTTTAATAATTTTTAACATTTCTTCTCTTTTTGTAACATCAACAGGGACACTGAAGATAAAACACAAACAATGAATGCATTACTTGTACGATAAAAAAAGCCTAATATAGTTTTTTTTCAATTAAACATATATCCATAATAGTTATACTTGGAATTATTTTCAAATTAAGCGTTGATTTTAAGACTAAAACAATTTATTTTATAAAAGAAATTTAGGATCACATTTTAGTGCGATCATCTATAAAATCCTGCTGCAATACATGCATTGGTGCTAAGAGCATCCAAATGGCAATAAAATGCACCTTTAAAGGGCTTACATCAGAGTAAATAAATTTCTGTATTTAACTTTGATATGTTAACATAGCACACCCAATATCTTTCAAATGATATTAAAATGGAAACAATTATCAATAAATAAGTATGATGCACAACCTGACTTTATCACGGACTAGGTCCAACATATCTTCTAATGCTTGTCTATAGGCCGATATAATAACAGTAGGGTGCATTTGTTGTTCTAAAAATTGTTCTGCTACAGATAGAACTTCTCCAGCTAAAATGTAAAAACCAGCGGCTGCCAGGCAGGATACGCCCACATTTTCGAGAGATGGAAAGAGAACAAGCTAACAAGAAAGTGATCTTTCCTACTATCAAGGGCCATAATTCAGGAAATTACAATTCAATATGCGCGAATAAACATTGTGACCTCTATAGGGTCCACAACCTTGATATACCATATTTTTACGCTATTTGAGAACGAACGGCGGCCATTTTGTCTGTCAATTTTGGGCCGATTTTCACGAAATTCGAACTCAACCTTCCTTAGAGTGTAACGGTGATATAATACTACGTTTTTTTTAAATCGGATAAAAATTAAGACCTCTGTAGGGTCAACAAGCTAAAAACGCGATTTTTCGTACAATCAGGGGCCATAATTCAGGAAGTTACAGTCCGATATGCGCGAATATCGAAAAGAACCGAGATCTTTGGGTTATAAACTTACATTTCAAGTTTCAAAAAAATCGGATAAAAATTGTGACCTCTATAGGGTCCACAAGCTAAAAACGTGATTTTTCGTACAATCAGGGGCCATAATCCATGAAGTTTCGATCCGATACATGCCAATATCGAAAGCAGCCGAGATCTTTTGGGGATAACCCTATATTTCAAGTTTCATCAAAATTGGATAAGAATTGTGACCTGTAGTGAGTCCACAAACAATTGTGGACGGACGGACGTCCGGATGGACAGGGGCGACGGCATAATACGTCCACATGAAAATGTGGGCGTATAAAAAAGAAAAATTTAAATCTAAATATTCAGCTGATCAAATAAATATAACCACAGGCCATCAAAAAGTCAGCCTCCCGCTCGCCACAATCCCAAAATACAAATGTAGACGACATTATTTAATAGCACGTTTATCTCTTTGTAAAGATCGATCAATCAAATTTAGCCTTAGCAGAAAAGGCTCATGATTGAATTTAAGTAAAGATATTGGTGTATCGTGTAGTGAAACTATACATAAAGTTTCATCACTCATTTAGAAGCAAGCTATGACCTCAAGCATCAGTCTATGAAATTGCTTAGCCTAAGCAGAAGATGTTCATCTTCCAACTCCATCAAGGTATTCACTTAATAAACACCTACACCAAGTTTGAACATTCTAGCTCAGTTAAAAGCAGAGTTATTGTGAACTGAAAAAGTATGATGGTCCGATTTTAAAAGTCAGCTGCGTATTTTAACCAGCGGCTGCCAGGCAGGATACTAGTGATGTGCGTTTTTTCGGTTTAACCGTACGGTATCGGTTTTTACATATAAACAGAAAATCGAACCGATAAAACAAAAAATAACCGTGTGTTTCGGTTTATTTTTTTCCAAATTTTAAATTTACCTGTTTTCCGTTTCGGAAATGTTTAAAAAATTCCTAATTTATATGTAGCCATACTTCGTTTACTTAATAATTCCAAGATTTTAATGTAGCCACCACTTCCGTTTTTATTTTCGATCAACCATACCCCCTATGTATAGAGTGTTTAATAAGTCTGAATGGCCTAGACTATTTATTTTCTCAATTCGGTTCGGTTTATAATCCAAACTTTTATGCAAGCCAAAGCCGGTTGTCAATAACCCAATGGCTTCCTCTAAAGGAATGTCAATGGCTTCCTCTAAAAGTAAAATGTCTCCATGGCTTACAGTAACTTTATGGCTATTAGTATTATGTCGATATGTTAATTTATTATTATGGTGTTGTGTTTGACAAAGTTTGTCAGATCTTTTTTTTACAGTAACTTTATTGTTATTGGTAATATGTCGTTATATTAATTTATTATTATGGTGTTGCGTTTGACAAAGTTTGTCAGATCTTTTTTTTTACAGTAACTTTGTTTTTACTAGTCATAATTAAAGTCATATAACAGTAAAAAACAACTTGTTTACAATTTACATCAATATGTTTGATATCTTTTCTAGCTTCCAAGTATTCCTATAAAATAACCATAAATCAGTACATACATAATACAGTGTTTAAATGAATAAAAAAAAACCGAAAACCAAAACCGAGTTTTTTTGCCACAGAAAAACCGAAAACCGAAACTGAAAGAAAATTTAAAGATAGTTTGCCAGGCAACGAAACATAGTGAAATAAGGGCCATAACTCTAGAAGTAATGATTGTAAATTGCTGAAATTCAATAGTTTTCTTCGTTTCACTAATTTAAATCATGCATATTAATTTCACATAGATCGGGTGATAACTTTTGGCTTTAGAGCATTCACAAGGTTCAATAAAGTGAAACAAGGACTAATACTCTAGACGTAATAAACGAAAATTGTTGAAATTCAATAGGCTTCTTCGTTTCACTAACTTAAATATTGCATATAAATTTCACAAAGATCAAATATTAACTTTTGGCATTAGAGCGTTCACGAGGTTCAACAAAGTGAAACAAGGGCCATAACTCTAGACGTAATAAACGGAAATTATTGAAATTAAATAGGCTTCTTCATCTCACTAATATAAACAACATATATCAATTTTAAAACAATTAGATAACTTTTGTGGACGATGGGCGGACGAACCGACTGACGGACAGGGGCGACGGCAATATACGTCCACATTTGTACATTCTAGTGCTCCTACGGTTAGGACTTTTTGTTATTCGAATAGCCGTAGCTATTAACCGGTTAGTAACCGTTAACCATATGGTATCAATTTTAAGGGGATCGTTCGCACTTGGTATGACCGTTTTTTTTATTAAAAATGAAAAAAAAATGAAAAATTTTGTTTACATGAAATGTTTGGATAAAGTGTCCTAAACTTGTTTTCAGTCTTTATTTCTCCCGAAAATGATTATTTTCTACAAATATGATGACTTTTGCATATCTTAAAATTAATTTTTATCCGTAATTAATCTTTTGTCTTTGAAATTTTGCCTAAATTCACCCCCTCGTAACTTTTTTACAAATTAACCGATCGTCGCCATCTATTTATAGCCTGGGAAAAATACTATAAATAAACCGTGACGTATTATGTGTTTGCAATGACAATGTACAGGAATTCCCGCGTTACCCCGAGGCCTCAATAGTAAAAACAAAGTTTTCTATTGGTCTATTAGATCACATGGAATTATTAGCCAATGAAAATGCGTAGTACATCAGTACATACGGGTATTTTGTAACCTTTGACGCGTGTGCACAGGCGCACTACTATTCTTACCGAACTTCCGGAAGTGCTAAGAATGATAAAACTAAAGCCGAATTTTACTGATTTTTGAGCCTAAAATGCGTATTAAAAATAGAGAAGCGCAAATAAATTCAAAGGAAGAAGGTATATTCGACGTTGAGCTACTAGTCTTCCCACAACATTTGGCATAGAAACCCAGAAATGTGCCGATAAAGCGAGTGAGTCGAGTGCATTGATGACCTAGATTTAGTTTACTTTTACTTTAGATAATAATAACAATAATTACGACGATTTTGAAGTACATTTTGACAGTTTGAGCGGCGATAATGAATTATTAGATGATTCTGACGATGAAGCAGATTTCCAAAATAAACATTTAGAGTTAGCCACTTCTAAAAAGTTGAAAAAATTTCATATTCCGTCCATTAAAGAGCCAACTAGACCTAGTTACGGCTAGTAGTAAAAACACATCAGGCTACAGACTAGTCGATGTAAACTTTCTAAAATCAATAATATCAAAATTAAATAGTCCAAAATGTCAGAATAAATTTGATCAACAGTTATGTTTGACTGATGTGAACTTTCTAATGTCAATAATATCAAAATTGAATCGTCCAAAATTTCAGAATAAATTTGATCAACAGTTTTGTTTGATTGAAAATAATTTCAATTAGGCCACCTAAAAAAAAAAATAGTTGGTGATCGTCTTTTTTTTTTCAAAAAAATGTGGGAGGGAGGGTTTTTTTTGTTTTTTTTTAATGAATATACAGAATAAGCAATATACTTCAGGAATATTAACCTTTTATTTAATGTCAAAACACAACTCATCTGCATGATCGTCATTTGAATTGTTCAGATTAATTATTTAAACTTGAGATATTCCGCCTTGGATTCAATCAGATATAAAGAGATTTATAACTGAACACTTATAGGTGGTGCCGACTGGTTTAATGTTGCAGGATATCAAATGTTGCAAAATTTTCAATTCATATCATGTCTTTGGACTGATATTCTTTTTAGACATTCAACTTTCATAATATTGTATTTTGCGAATAGTAAGACCAGAAGAGCCCCCCCCCCTCCAAAAAAAACCACACAAAAAAATAAGACATTTTGCATAACGACTTACGATCACTAATATTAACAAGCCAACAGTGAGGCTGATGTCCCCCGCCGAAATAGGAAAATAATTAGAGGACACATATAAATTTATCACAAATTATCTTTTACAAAGTATTGAACAATCAAACAGTATATCTTTACTTATAGTCTAAGCATACAATGTTTTTGATGGAATAATTATAGCATATTAAGGGGAAAACATGCTCTATGCCTACAGATCTAGAGTTTGGTTGTATCAACGGGTCTATTTTCCATCTTGCTGCAAGTTGTGCAAAGTTCACTGTTTTCTTTCTGTCATTAAATGTCAATTCATTATTGCATACTACATATTTAATTAATTTATAATAGTTTCTTTTTCAATTTGTTTTTTCCATTTATTTGTTTATTTACCTTGCCTATATTCATTGTATTGGATTGTATTGGAATTGCTCAATTGATGCTTTTATCAATACCTGGTTATAATAATTTTGAACATTTTAACTCAATTCGAAGGAGTGTGACGGACAGACAAACAAACAGACGACGGACGAACCCATTTTAATAGTCCCCTGCTTTCTTCGAAAGGCGGGGGACAATAAGCATACACACCAATTTTGAACATTTTAACTCAATTCGAAGGAGAGTTATTGTGTTCCAAAGTCTCAGCAAATCAAATTGCTTATCGCTCTGCTTAATCTGAGCAGAAAATGCTCATTATCGATCTTAGTCAAGGTATTACTGTAATGAAACTATACACCAAGTTTCATCA